TAGGGACCATTTGGGTTGTGTTTTTTTCTTATTTTTTCAATGTGAGTTAGGCAGTGTATACCTTGCAATATGAGCAATGGTAGAGGGCCCAAATTCTGTGGCTCAAATGTGGCTCAAATGGCCAAAACGACGTCGTTTTGAGTACAAAACAACATCAAAATGGCCAAAACGACGTCGTTTTGGCCATTTGAGCCACATTTAAGCCACAAAATTAGGCCCCCAAACATTTTTCTTGCAATATTTAGTTTTCGCTTTAGCAAAAGCCTCCTACACTGAATTGAATTGCTCTAACTTCCGGTCAAAAGTTCCTTTCCCACTTTCCAAGTATACAGACAAATGTACAGACAAAAGGGTTTTTCATTGCACTTCTCACAAGGCTTTCTTGGCCTTTGGAAAAATGCCTGCCTATTCTGGGTAGGAAGACTAAACAAATGCCCCTCTTATAATTTTAAATTTCTTGGATCCTTATTATGGTATGGAGAATTACCCATTTACCCTCATTTATGCCTTAGAACTTTGGGTGGAGGACAGGTTGGGACAAAGTTGCATACAGTACCCATCTATACTATATATTAAGTAAAAGGAGATTTTTAATCTCAATTTTTATGGGAGCTTCAATTAAGCAAAATGGGGTTTTTAACCCCAAGCCTTGTGAGAGCTCCAATCTCCCAATGTAAATTTCCTAATTTTTTGATTTAAAAAAAAAAAGAAGCTTAGGATTTATTAACTTCTCTCAACCTCAAAGTCTTACCCTCATAATAACACTTTAATGCATTAAGAACAAGCATTAAAAAAATTCTTTAAAATCCAACACATATAAATTCCTTGAAAAGTTCCAAAACATATGATTATTATCCCTCATAATAACACTTTAATGCATTAGAACAAGCATAAAAAAAATTTCTTGAAAAGTCCAACACATATAATTATTATCAAAATATAAAACTTTAATATAATGTAATAAATAAATAAAAAGACATTTAATTCCTTGAAAAGTCTAACACATAGGATTATTATCAAAATATTAAACTTTAATATTATATAAAAAAGAAAAAAAAGAAGGCATTTAAAAAAAAAGATATTTAAAAATCGCAATTCACATATACAGATAATTATAAACACAATCCGTGCATAGCACGGGTGATATGCTAGTATTAACTAATACCAATATAGACGCCTCTTTTGGAAACAAGTTTTTTTAATAATTTTTTAGTTTTTTGGTTAAAATATGAAGTTAAAAAAATAGATATTTTGAATAATTTTTTAATTTTTTACGAAAAGATATGTAAAAAGTAAGAGAAAATAGAATATTTATTTTTTTAGTATAGGTTATAGGCTTTTTAATTTTTTTAGTAATTTTTTTAATTTTTAAACTGAAATAATTGCATGCCAAACGAGGTCGGAGTCCCTCACCCAATTCCACTTCATCTATAATAATCTCTTTTGGGAATAAATTATTTTAGTTAGCTTTTCATGAAAAATTAAGTAAAACAATAGAAAGAATAATGTGATTGGGTGTTTTATCTTTAACTATTTTAGCCAAAAGAAGTTCATCCCAAAACAGAAGAGACCAGGGTTGACTTGGTGGATAGTAAAAGTGGGCGCATGTCGGTTGCGACTACGGAACCTTTAATCTGCCATCCATTCACCAGATTAGCGAATTAGAGAAAATCAATCCGTATCTGTCCGCCAATCCGACAGAGCGGATTGACAGATTGACGAATGGATGCAAATCGGTTTTGCGGTTTAAAATTTTATAAACTTTTAACATAATTCAACTTGTGCACTTCTTTAAAAAAAAATATTACAGTCAATAACTTAAAAAAGTATTACAATTACTGCATGCCTCATCTAAAGAAAGAACGTTTGAAACTTTAGAATATTACAATCATTGCATGCATCATCCACATATTACAATCACAACATGCCTTATCCACATTAATTATTACAATATGTGGTTCTTAAAATATAAAAATAATTCAAACTACCAAAATCATGAACAGAGCAATAATAGAGATTATATGCCTCTATATTATTACATCTATATCTGTTTTTGAAAATAAAAAACAACCAGCATATATCATATTTTTTATTTTTAGAGTTAGATATAAAAACCAAAAAATATAGATAAATAATATATTTATTTTTTTTAATTCAAAAAATATATTCAAGTTGAAAACGCTTTTTCAATTGAAAACAGAATATCTAAACAAATTAAAAATACAAAGTCTTACAAATTACTAGGGGTGCTCGCGGTTTGACGGTTCGGTTGCGGCCAAATGAATTTCAAATTCACCATCCGTCTAAAACTAGGCGAATTGGAAAAAAAAATTAATCTGCAGTCATCCGCTCGTCATCACGCATCCGTCCAAAATGCAACATATCAATTCGGTTCGGTCGGTTTGGACAGATCGGTATATCCGCTGCTCACCCCTAATGGATAAGGCATCACATTTGAGTTTTAAATTTTACAGTTATATAATGTATTATCTTTCTTTTTTTCTTTTTTTTTTCTTTTTTCTTCCTGATTGTAACATAAGGCTTAATAAATCTAATGGTCTTTAAAATATGCGATCTGCTACACTTTAGTATCTAATCTTTTAATTTTTTTTCACTTTGATTCTTTAAGTATACAATCTATTACACTTTAAACCTGACGTGAATAAATTATATATGGTCCCCAAAGTACGCACTTTATTTCATTTGATCCCCAAAATACACGGTTGTTGCATTTGGGTCCTTAGTTTTTTTTTTTTTTTTGCATTCTTATTTATATAATTTGAAAATGAAACCGTTATTCTCACTCTACTTTGTTCTAAATACACTCTATTCTTTGTTATCTATTATACATAGTTACTTTAATACCCTTTCACACAAAATACACTTCCTGAAAAAATCAAAATTCCAAGGTTATTAATGTATTTGGAGTAAAAAAATGAGTGTATTTTGGAGCAAAGTGGAGTGAAAATATTGAAATTATCTCTCTTGTTGTTATTGATTTTGAACCACAATGACACCAAAGGTTGAAGTGTAACACATCACATAATTTGATAATCAAAGTGAAAAAATTAATTAAAATATAATAAATCATATATACTTTACAGACGATTAATGTAATTAATTTAGAATAAAAATAATATCACCCAAAATTAGCCAGCTAAAAATTGTGCGTTCGGTTTTGATTGTTACATTTCATGAAAAAGAGAAAGAGAACACGGGGGAGGTCATTTTCATATGGAAAGGTGGCAATATATGATCATTTGGTAGAGAAAAACAGAGACCAATAATGATCATGGAAATGTGAATAAAATTTGGATTAAAATTATATACACAAACAAAAAAAATTAAGATTGATGAGCTATATTAATAATTAACTTTCATTACAATTAACTAACGAAACTAAAATCAAATTTTTATAATTCCATAAAAAAAAATGACGTGAAATTCTATATATACATACGCGAGGGGTGTAGAAAATGAGGGGATTAGAGTCTTTTAAAGGATTAGGGACTTGGGCCTCGTTTGGCAAGTGTCCGTTTTTGTCAAAAAGTAAAAAAGTTATTAAAAAAATCAAAAAATCAATAACCCATACCAAAAAGTCAAACATTCTCTTTTTTCTTTACTTTTTGTATATCTTTTCGTAAAAAGTCAAAAAGTCATCCAAAACATATAGTTTTTTTTTACATCACATTTTAGTCAAAAAATCAAAAAGTTACTAAAAAAGCCTGTTCCCAAATGAGACCTTAATGTTTGAATAAAAACAATATGGTCCTAAAACAAAAACCAAAAAATAAATCAGAGTATCAGATCTATGGTTCGAATTTGAGGTTGTTGTTGTGGCTCATATCTTCATTAAATCTAGACCATTAATTTTAAATTTTGAATATTTTTTTGGACTTTTACTTCTGAGATTGTAGTATTACTCATGTGGGAATTGTGTGGTGAGCGTGAAAAAAAATTGGATATTGCTGTTTTAACCTAAAAGTTATACTAAATTTTCAAATGAAATAATGTGACAATCAATTAAAATATTTAAAGCAATTATATTTCTTATATATTCTCTAATTATTAGTCAATCATCTCTTTTACACATCACTGGATATATAAAATAAGTTTAGACAGTGAAGTTATATATTATTTTTCAAAAAAAAATTATTATATATATACAAATGGGGTGACATAATGGGCCTTTGAATTTTAAACTTGAATTGGAGACTCTACGTTTAATTGAGCCTTAACAAAAATAATTTTATTTTTGAACCTAGTAATCAAAATTGGGGACTCAATTGGGAATTGACTATTTTAGTTAAAGATATAAAAGAAAATTTAAAAAAATAAAGTGATAACTTATAATGATATTTTAATTTTTTGGATTTTTTTTTGTTCTTAAATAATTTTAGAAACTCCTCGAATAAGACCCGAGATTGCATTCCAAGGTAGAGCAACCCACTCTTGTCCTTGTCAACTTTGCTTAAAAGATGCATTAACATTCAATCAATGTCAACTTTTATTTCAACAATATTACAAAGTTAAATTTAATTATTTAAAATTATCATCTTATAATTCAGATTTATTATACATATGAATGTCATATTATACAAATTTAATTTTTATCACATAATCATTCACCTAAAAATATCCGAATGAATAAGTATGAGATCTAAACTTATTCCTTTTATTTATTTTGAAAGCTACTACGTGCTATGCATAGGTTATGTTTACAATTATTTGTACATAGTAGAATATAAATTGCGATTTTTTTTTTATTTTTTTTTTTTATTTTTTTTTGCATATAGAAAAACAAAAGGCGAATTACACTAACAGTTCCTATAGTTTGGGGTTCATGTCACTTTGGTTTTGTGACTTTTCAATTGTAACACATTTAATCCTGAATTTTGAATCTTATTTCAAATAAGGATAATTGAAGATATTATTACTTAATTTCAAGACTAAAATTGTCAATTTGATAAAATATAAACTAATTTGACAAAAATAAATGT